GGTACTCGGTCCTACAGATGGCGCCGCGACCACTGTGTGACGTCACATGATATCTAAGAATAGGCTAAGGTCCTCAAATTCCACTGGAAGCCATGGAAATCTTACTCCCTCTTGTGTTGAATGACTGCGTTGCGGGTGTGTGAGCCTCTGTCTCTTACATGCAGTAACATGTATTTGTGAAAATGTGCTGTAGAGTCAGGAGGGTGTGTTGAGATTCAGTGTGGATTTTATGTATGCTTTTTCTTAACTGTGGCTAAACTGTCTTATAGCATATAATAGTGACAATTAAACTTTCTCAGTTACAAGTTGTTTCAAATGCGTGAGTGATTATCATTCTTGTGTTAAACGCTCAGTAACAAAGTTTTTCAATGCGCGAGTGATTATTTTTTCGTTCTTGTGTTAAACTCTCAGTAACAAAAATGATTCAGTTGTATGTGCTAGAATAGGATGGGATCACAGCTAGACATCTGTCGGTTTGACATGAGCGTGCGAACGCAGTTGTATATTCACAGCATTATATCTCTGCATAGACCATAATTTCAGACTAACAGGTATTGCGGGATAAAACTGTGAATGTGGATGTTTTATCTTTATCATTGTAATATAGGGTACAAAGATTGTACACGTGTTACAGACAATTGTCTGTGTGTCGTCGCAGGTGTGGGCCAGGTGTTTATTTATTTTAAGTTCAATCTTCAGGTCAACAAATGTGAACTATTATAATTATAATATAGGTTGTAACACATCTAGTGTGGTTTCTGAAAACAAATGGTGATTATTTAAATCTATCCTTTATCTAAAAAGTTGTCTGGGGACGTGTCACCGGTGACACAGCCCCTTCGGTGACATGCCTCGACTAGTCTGCGGATCAAGTGTATCGTTTTTCACAATGTTTATATAAAAGGGGTTACTATGAGATTGAACAGATTTGATCTATTTCTTATAAATGTTGATAGATAAGTGAATTATGACACTATGTATAATTACAACACTATTTATACTGTATATAGTCTATCATACAAATTCTAAGGACTCCCCTTTCCCCCATCAGAGATGTCTCGATGCCAATGGGGTGGTTTGAGGTAATAAAAAGTCATAAATAAGACGCATGTGTTGTGGTGGCAGCCCGGCTGACGGTGAGTGTCCTAGTATTTTGTCCTTTTTATCAGTTATTCTGCTTTTTCCTTGGTTTTCTGTTCCCTGCCTGCCTCCCTGTGTTTTCTCCCCTGTGTGCTCTCCCTCTGCTCCTGAGCCCAGCCAACGACCCGCACCTGCACCTCATCAGCCACCTCGTCAGCCTGCCACACCTGCCAGTAATCAACCTCATCCCTGCCTGTTCTCCACACCATCCTCGCTTGATCGTCGTTGCTCCATACCCGGTGCCACCTCCACGTTAAGGCTCTCGTGTTTTTTGTTTTCTCACATTTTCCCTGTGCTTTCTCTGTGATCTCTAACCCTGTCTCTCTGTCTGTTTCCCTCCCAGGTACACTCACCCTCGTCCTCCGTTCAGTCGGCTGGGCTCATCCACCGGTCCTCTCCTCCTCGGACTTCCCCCACGGCGTCCTCCCCGTTCTCCCTCGCCTCCTCGCTTCCCCGGCCCCAGTGTTCCCCGGCTCCCTGTTCCCCAGTCCCCTTGGTTCCCCGTGCCTGAGTTTCCCCGGCATCCACCTCTCCCTTCACTCCAGTCCCTCTACCCCTTTTTCCCTTCAATAAACCTCCTTCCCTCTGAGTGCTGCTTTTGGGTCCTCTCTGTCCCCACACCACACCACCCTCATAACAGTATGTGTGAAAATAGGATGTGTTTTGGGGGTATAAGATGGGGATAAAGACATCCCTGCAAGACTTCACTTTTTAGTCGGAACCTCTGGTGCATTTTTGCTGTTGCTGCTATTTCACTTCAGATCCTATCCAAGATGGCTCTTGTTGCTGGTGAGTTAAAACCCTCAAATTAATTACATTGGTGTATTACTTGTATTGGCTGCTTTATCTGATTTTCTTTTTAATATAAAAAAGGTTTCTTTGAAACAGCTCTGAACTGTGTGGATGTTTCATCACCTGTGGTGATGTGGAAGGCAGGAGACAGCGGATAGCTCATTTTCTAGGTAAAAGGGTTTCATATTTATGCAATGTTGACTAATAGGCCTAAAAACTCGGACAATGTAACCTCACATAAGCTGTATTACAGAAGAACATCATTTATTTGACGGAGAACGACCGGCGCATGATGGTAAGTTATTTATATAAATTTGTTTAAAGGGCAAATTCTACTGTACATGGTTAATTTTGTAAACCAATCACGACAATTTGTTGTATTATCTACTTTTAAATGAATCATTAAACATCTGAGAATTTTTTTTGTATGTAAGTCATCTTAGGTCGGGGACCCAGCCGACCTAACGTTTCTAGCAGAGGATATAACTGAATGGACCTCAACCTACGAAAGGTTAATCTCCTCGATCCACGATTCCACAGACTTGAGACGCAGACTCACTAGACTTGTTTATGGGTTAATGGAGAAGTCACTTAGCCGTAAACCCAGGCTACTGAACTTACCCTCCATGGCTGAGCAGTTAGCCGTAATTAAACAAATGAAGAGAGACTTGGAGAAGATTTTGGATACTCCCGAGGGCTCTGAGGCAGGTATTGGGCTGTCAGGTTCACAGCCTGGTGGCGCTGCAGGGGCCAGCCATGTCCCTGTTCCGGCTAGCACTGTGGCGTCTAGCCAGCTACCAGTCAGCCAACCAGCTAGCCGTCAGCCGGCTAGCTAGCGCTACTAGCTTTTTGCCTGCCCACCTGCCTGATCCCTGGCCTGCTAGCAGCCAGCCTGATCACCAGCTGACTCCTGCTCCCTCGTCGGTGGTCCGACCAACACCAGCTCCGTTGGTGGCGCAGCCAACTCCTGTTCCCTCGTTGGTGGTCCGACCGGCACCAGCTTCGTCAAATAGGAAGTTCTGCGTGTCTGTAAACAACTATGTCTCTTCGTTCTGTCCAGTTAAATATGGTGTGCTTCAGGGGTCGATCTTAGGACCCATTTTGTTTTCCTTGTATCTGCTTCCCCTCGGACATATTATCCATAAACATGGCATTTCTTTTCATATTTATGCTGATGACACACAAATATACTTGCCCGTCAGATCCACAGACCCTAGAATGTCAAATAATTTCCTCCAGCTGAACTCAGACAAAACAGAAATCCTGGTCATTGGGTCCCAGCAGATGGCAAATCAAATACTGCCATCTGCTGGTTCCCTAGTAAATCACATTAAGCCTGTGGCAAAGAACCTTGGTGTTTGGTTTAATAGTAATTTAAATTTCGAGCAGCACACCACAAAGCTTGTTCAATCATGTTTTTTAATCAACTTAGAAATATAGCAAAAATTCGATCTATGTTAACTTTTACCATTTTACACGCCTTCATCTCATCACGCATGGATTATTGCAACAGCCCTTTCACCCGTTTAACCCAAAAATCTATTGATTGTCTCCAGACTGTCCAGAACTCAGCTGCCAGGCTTTTAACCAGAACAAAGAAATATGACCACATTACTCCAATTTTAGCTTCATTACACTGGCTCCCAGTATGTTTTAGAATTGACTTTAAAATTCTATTGATCACTTTTAAAGCTCTTCATGGCCTCTCGCCTTGTTATATTTCTGACCTTTTAGTCCCATACACACCAGCACGTACCTTGAGATCCTCCGGCTGAGGTCTGTTGTCTGTTCCAGAGTCTCGACTGAAAACTAAAGGGGACAGAGCGTTTGCTGTCAGGGCCCCGAGGCTCTGGAACAGCCTGCCCGGCTGAGTCCGTGAACTCTTTTAAGTCCCTTCTTAAAACATACTTTTATAGGAGAGCCTTTCCCGATCTTATTTGACTTTATTTTATCCCTTTTATTTTATTCTATTTTACTAATTTTATATTTATCTGTATTTTAGTCTTTTCAATGTTTTCATGCTTTTATCTTGTATTGTTTTTGTGTTATTGTCTTTACACTTGTTAAAGCACTTTGTAACTTGTTTTTGAAAAGTGCTCTACAAATAAAGATTATTATTATTATTATTATTATTATTATTACACCCAGAGCAGACAAAATAGAAGTCTTGCAGCAGGTCATCCTTAAAGATGAGGTACTCCCCAGGGACACAGAAGGAGGTTTTTATGAGGAGGGAGGCAACCCTAACTGGCCCCCATAAAAACTGGCAGCTGGAGCAGGGCTCGACAATAACGGTGGCCTGATGGCCCGGGGCCAGTAAAACGTAACGTTGGGACAGTTGAACTAGCAAAAACATTAGTATTTTTACAACATCCTGCAGTTGTTTTGCAGCTCTTGGCGCGCACCGATGTCCAATCCAGAGTTGTAGTTACGTGACGAGAGGTTGTTGTTTTATTTCTCTAATCTCAATCATGCGGTAACCTCTGGGTCGAAAGTGAATCCATGCAGATGGAACTTAAAGCTGCATTCTCTCTAACGGCCAGCAGGGGGCGACTTCCATTAGCTATAATGGTAAAATGTTGCTACTTCTCAGCTGATTCATTATCTCAGTAAACAGTTTTAAATGATTTTATAGTCTCAGTCGAGTCTTCTTCAACACAGCATGATGTTCATTTAGTATATTATGGTCCTATTTAACGGAAAATAGACGATAATGCAGCGTATGCTTTTGGACGGGACTACCTTGTTACTGACAGGTCGGTACCATGGCAACCTGTTCATCAGGATAGAGGCGACTCGTGTCCGCTGCTCTGTGTACATTTTTCATAAATGACTGTCAGCAGGAGAGCACGTCAAGTTTGAGTCTGTGAGTATGTTTTATTTTTTTATTTTTTAAGTAAATTGTTTTGTTAACCTTTTTATTTAGTTTTTTTTATAACCAGGATGCATTTAATAAATGATTTAACACTTTTGGAAGGAGGGACGGTAAAAATTGCCAGTTGCAAAAACGTTTAACGTTGAGCCCAGTGGAGGATGTCCTTTTTTTGCTGCATGGCGATGTCAGTCCGCAGCTCAACAGGGAAGTCATGCAGGAGCTTGTTAACATCTATACCATTATTGACCAACCATGGGGTCCTGAAGTACTCCATCATGCGTTGTTTTAACTGGTGGGCAGACGGTGGACACTGATAAAGTCCTTTAGTTCCTTCATGCGTGTGTGGTACAGAGAAATTTGTGAGTACATACGCTGGATGATGGCCGACATGTTACTGAACACCAGGGCGTACATCAGCGCGCTGACAAGCATGGTGCAGATGGATCTGATAGATCTTTTCAGCATTGGTGTTGGCAGAGACATTGCCAAAGCCCACAGTGGTCAGGCTGCTGACGGTAAAGAAAAGGGTAGTGACGTAGGCGCTGTGCGCTGACGGGCCGCCCATCGTGCTGTTGATGTATGGCATCTCCATGCGTCTGCCCAGCTCATTGAGCCACCCAATGTGCGAGGTCCACTCGTTCTATCTCCACGTGTCCAGTCTTGTACCAGATGCAGGCCATCCAGTGTGTCAGCAGGGCAAACAGAGACATTAGCAAGATCAGCACCACGGCACTGTACTGAGAGTAGTGATCCACTTTCTGAAGCACACCAAGGAGACGCAGCAGGCGTACAGGCTTGAGCAGGTGGGCGAAGGAGGTCATTGGGATGTGGACAGCATACAGCAGATCAATGGGCCGCGAAGCAGCCAGGTCCACAAAGAACCAGGTGGTGACGTTAGACATACTGTAGTGGAGCAGGATGAAGCAGGACTTCTGCACTGCTGCCACCTCTGGTATCAAAGGCTTTTTAATCATGCTCTGAAGCCAAACTGTCTAATGTTTACTGACAGTATAACAATTTAGCTTTTCAGTGCATTTGAGCTTCTTCAGGCATGTGATTTGAGCTCTTTCTATATTTCAGTTCAGCATTGAAACGCACTTTCCGCAGGAAATGCAATTTTCTCGTCGTCTACTGTTATCCAAATCTTTATTATTAGTGTGAATGCTGAGTCAGTATTAGCCCTTATATGTAGCCCGATTTACCTTTGCAGATAATGCACTCTCAAAAAGGGATAAGTTCTGAATAAGAACCACGACATCCTTTTGTTGTTTAATGAAAACTCTGACATTATTCTTTCTTCAGTCCCAACAAACCATGTCTGAGTTTGATCAAAAGTGGTTCAATAGACAAGGAAAAGTCCACCGCCCACTTTTAAAACAATAGCAGCACCAGAATACAACAACTTCACCCATGAAATCAAACTGTCACCAACACCACGCTTTCAGAGTTTTGAATAAACATACATGATCCACTCTGTCAAAAGCTTTCTCTTGGTCTATAGATAATAGGCCAAGATCCATCTCCTGAAAGGTTGACATATCAATGATGTCTCTTATTAAAAACAAATTGTCCTTTATGGTACGATCAGGAATACAGTATGCTTGATTAACATGAATAATTGAATCCATATAATGTTTAAGTTTTTATTGGAACAACATTTTTAAAGTATTTTATAGTCTGTACAAAGTAGTGAGACCTGTCTCCAATTCTTTAGAAGTCACACAGCTTTAGAAGAACACAGCTCTTGTACAACTACTTGGTAATGTCCCTGAGTAGAACGAGTCCTTAAAAACATCATGCAAGTCCTTCTTCAAGAGCTCCTCATAACACTTGTAGAACCACCCGCTTCGTTATCACTCGATTGAATGGGCGTTATCAGTGGTTATCAGCCCCATAGTTATGGGTCTGAAGGGCCCTACTGCACCTACTGGTAGGTTCAGAAGGCCGTTATCATCCATTCACAAAGTTAATCCCCGTAACTACAAGAGAAGACTCCAGATCCAGTCCAACAGGAATCCAGCTCACCGCTGACTGGAAGTCTGCTGGATAATGGGATATTTTCAGATAAGACCATTTAAAAGGCGATTATTTAACCAACAAGTGAAAATAATATAGCAAAATTCGTTTTAAGGTTGTGTGACATGCGTGTTGACAAGAGATAACCGTATTGTAATTGTGTTTGCTTTACATTATTAGCATGTATGCTTTACGTTAGCATTACAAATTATTAGCATGTTTTACGTGACTGCTTTTAACTGTTATATTAAATTAGCTTCAACTTTAGCCTGTAAAAATGACTTTTCCACACTGTAAGATTGTAAGTTAGACATATTTGGCATCTTTGGAAACCGTGGGCTCTTGACTAGAATGTAAAATAAAGTTCACGAGGAACATGCTTAATCGCGCTGCTCCTCTTCTAGCACACCTGTCACAATCATATTCACATTCATGCAAAAGAGGAACCCTGCCAATTTATTAGAAATACCTTAGCTTGAAAATTGAGGAATAAGATGTATACAGGTGCTGGTCATATAATTAGAATATCATCAAAAAGTTGATTTATTTCAGTAATTCCATTCAAAAAGTGAAGTGTTTATATTCATTCATTACACACAGACTGATATATTTCAAATATATATTTCATTTAATTGTGATGATTAAATTCAGTATCTCCGAAAATTTGAATATTACATCAGACCAATAAAAGGATTTTTAGAAATGTTGGCCGACTGAAAAGTATGAACATGAAAAGTATGAGCATGTACAGCCCTCAATACTTAGTTGGGGCTCCTTTTGCCTGAATTACTGCAGCAATGCGGTGTGGCATGGAGTCCATCAGTCTGTGGCTCTGCTCAGGTGTTATGAGAGCCCAGGTTGCTCTGATAGTGGCCTTCAGCTCTTCTGCATTGTTGGGTCTGGCGTATCTCATCTTCTTCTTCACAATACCCCATAGATTTTCTATAGGGTTAAGGTCAGGCGCGTTTGCTGGCCAATTAAGATACCATGGTCCTTAAACCAGGTACTGGTAGTTTTGGCACTGTGTGCAGGTGCCAAGTCCTGTTGGAAAATGAAATCTGCATCTCCATAAAGTTGGTCAGCAGCAGGAAGCATGAAGTGCTCTAAAACTTCCTGGTAGACGGCTGCGTTGACCTTGGACCTCAGAAAACACAGTGGACCAACACCAGCAGATGACATGGCACCCCAAACCATCACTGGCTGTGACAGACTGAGAGGCCATTTAAAGGCCTTTGCAGGTGTTTTGAGTTAATTGGCTGATTAGAGTGTGGCACCAGGTGACTTCAATATTGAACCTTTTCACAATATTCAAATTTTCTGAGATACTGATTTTGGGGTTTTCATTAGTTGTCAGTTATAATCATCAAAATTAAAAGGAATGAACACTTCAAATATATCAGTCTGTGTGGAATGAATGTATACATTATACAAGTTTCACTTTTTGAATGGAATTACTGAAATAAATAACTTTTTAATGATATTCTAATTATATGACCAGCACCTGTACACTTGTATTTGAATTTCCAATTTCCATCTATAAACACAAGAAAGAAAATCGGATAACGCGATTATTTTTCATTTTACATTTTTTAATATCAAAACAAAAAACGGTTCGGGTTTTGTGTTTCCCTATTTACTAATGGTAATTGGTAAACAAGCTGTTTTTCGTTTTGTTTTGTTTTTTCGTTTCAGAACGAAAATCAGTTTTCCGCAAAGTACATGGACCCAAAACCTATATATATATATATATATATATATATATATTAGGGCTGTCAAAAATAGCGCGTTAAGGACGTTAATTCGTTGTTTGTCGTTAATTACGTCAATTTTTTAAACGCATTTCACGCATGCGCAGTGTGACAAATTATTCAGGTCAGGAAAGTGGTTGGGACGGGAGCTAGAGGCGAGATGGAGCAAGGTGAGCAAAGTGGGCCTATTGACGGATTCAAATATAAAAAGAATGATGATGGTACAGTTAACAAGTACAAGGTTATTTGCAAGATTTGTAACAAGGAGTTTCAATTTCACCGGAGCTGTTCAAGCTTGAGGTACCATGTCAACGCCAAACATGCGTTTGCTGGGTCGTCAGGTTCAGCAAGTGGTTCGCGCCAGACCACGCTGAATTTTCGCGGGCCATTAACAAAATCAACCTCAGATAATTTGACCAACAAAATAGCAAAATGGATTGCAAAGGATTGTAGACCCGTTAGTATTGTAGAAGACTCAGGTTTCATTGATGTTTTGCAAGTGGCGTCTCAAGACTCATCCTACAGGCCACCGTCAAGAGTCACAGTTATGACGAAAATCCACGAGCTCTATCAAAACGAAAAAGAAAAAAGGAAAGAGGTCTTGGCTCAAGTAAATCATATCGCCCTGACAGGAGACCATTGGACATCAGTGAATAATAACAATTACCTCGGAGTAACTGCACATTTCATCAGTGACTCGTGGGAACTGAAGTCTTTTGCGCTGACTATATTAAAAACTGAGGAGCGTCATTTTGCGGAGGCTTGTAAAGAACAGTTCCTGTCTGTTGCACGTAAGTGGGACATCGAGGGCAAGACGACAACAATTGGGACTGACAGTGCACGCAACATGGTTGCCGCAATTCGACTAACACGCTATGAACACATGAACTGTGTCGCTCACATGGTGCAGAGAAGTGTCACGGTGAGTCTTGCTGAGAGCAGCTTTGTAAATGCTTTGGCCAAGGCTTGCAAAGTTGTCGGTCATTTTAAGCACAGCCCAGCAAATGCTTGGGAAAGAAGCAAGAGCCATTGATCCAGGATGTTCCAACACGTTGGAATTCGACGCTGGAAATGGTCAAGCACGTGAGCAGAAATAAAGAGGCTGTCATCGCAGCCCTGGACAATCAGGATCACAAACTCGTTTTGCCGACCGCAGCAGAGTGGGATAAACTGCAGAGGCTGGAGACACTTCTAGAGCCATGCAGGTAAATCAGTCTGTAACTTATCAAATAACATTGCTTTGATTATTTTCTGGAATGAATTAAACCAAGTCAAATATCAATAACTTGTATGTAAATAATAATAATGATAATAATAATGATAATAATAATAATAATAATATGTTGATAACCACTGTTCTAATAATAGACTGTCTCTGTGTGCATGTGTGTGTTTGTGTGCGTAGGTAACTGAGCTCCTGGGTGGAGAGGCCTGTCTCCTGTTCTGTGGTACTACCTTCTCTTTGCCACTTGCGTCTCAAGATGGAAGCCTGTGATGAGGACCCTGCATATGTGGTGAGATTCAAGACCAAGTTCAAGGAGGACCTAGCATCCCGTCAAGAACAGCTCAACAATGCATGGCTCCAGATTGCTACAGTTTTGGATCCTCGTTTCAAAGACAGACAGGGAAGCGGTGTGGACCACACTTGAACGGATGCTGCAACAAGAATCACCCAGAAAGTCTTCAAAGACACATGATGATGGGCCACCCAGGAAGAAAATCCGCCTTCTGCAAATGGGCTCAGATTCAGAATCAGAAGATGAAGAGGTCCAACCTGCCATACAGAGGTACAGAGCAGAGCCCACCATTAAATTGGAGGACTGCCCCTTGAGGTGGTGGGCATCTCATTCAGGAGCCCACGAGAAGCTGGCCTCACTAGCTCACAAATATCTAGCCACTCCTGCAACCACTGTTCCCTGTGAACGACTTTTCTCAGTTGCAGGTCACATTGTGAACAAGAAAAGATCAGCTTTACTTTCAGAAAATGTGAAAAAATTAGTTTGCCTCAGCAACTGGCTGAAAGATGATGAAGCTCAGTAGATTTGAAAAGGTGATTTTCAAACAAAAAGACCAGTTTGTTGACCATGTTATAGTAGTTAGAAACTGGATTTTTGAGCAACTGGATTAAAGAATGGACGAAAAGGTAAAAGATTGTTCTTTGGTTTGATTTAAAAGTTTTATTGAAAATGTTTTTTTTCCACATAAAAACGCAACAGATGACTCAAATTGTGCAAAAATATGGTAGGTCACTGTTATGATTTGACTACATTTATTGCTTTATGTTCAATTGAATGCTGTAAATTGTACATCCTGGTTAAGAGGAATGCCAAAGAAGAAGCGATGGGACATTACAAAAACAAATATTATGGTGTGTAGTATGTTTCAGCTTGATTTAAACCACCATTATTTGGCTGTGTTAATAAACAGACATAATATGAAAACTATGTATCTGTGTCTTTTTATTTATCTTTTGGTATGCATTTCAGAAAAAAAAAAGGTTAGGATTCAGGTGTAATTGCAAATAGTGATTAATCCTGATTAATCCACTGAAAATTCTGATTAATTTGATTAAAAATTGTAATCATTTGACAGCCCTAATATATATATATATATATATATTAGGGCTGTCAAATGATTACAATTTTCTTTATATATATATATATATATATATATATATATATATATATATATATATATATATAGAGAGAGAGAGAGAGAGAGAGAGAATCTGGAGTGCCTACGGAGAAGGGGGGGCACCTTGTTGATTGTGTACACGGATACTATATTTGTAAGGCGGTTGGATGTTTGTACCAG